AAAAAAAAAAAAAAAAAAAAAAAAAAAAAAAAAAAAACACGGTACATCCAGGACCACTTCCGAAACTCTGAAAAAAAGAAAAAAGAAAAAAAGAAAGCAGTATATTCTGGACCACTTCCCAGCATCTTCTTCTTCTTCTTTTTTTTTTCTTTTTTTTTTTTTAACAGAACCTTTTAGGGTTCCGACTCGTTTTCCATTCTGGGGAGCTCCAGTCTGGTTCCTATTCCCCCAGCAAGTCAAAGGAATTACATTGAGAACGACCACGCTCACGCTCCTCCCCCTTCTGGTGTGGAGGCCCTAGTGGACGGCATTGATTACTTCCGTCTGGAAGGATGTACAACCCCTCACCCCTGCCTAAGTTATCCTACGCTACTTTTCTCCTACTTTTTCCTGCTAGTCTGAAGTCCCATTTTACTCTGACACTTGAAGCTTGCCTACTTATGCTCTGTCCAGCCAGTTTCTCTCAGCTCCTAGGCTGTCTAATTTTCCTTTCAATGTAGAACTGCTGATTTGACTGCCTATTGACAATATCTGAGAACTGCATTCTCTGTGGCTATGTTTGCTAACCCCCGGTTCAATGCTGCTTGCTAACCCCCGGAACCCTAGCGCATCTATTCGGTCGTTTGGTTTCCTATCAGGTGGGGTCTGCTTCTGTGCTCATCTGTGTTTTGTGGTGTGGTTGGTCTTTTAGGAATCTTATGGTGTTTTTCTCTAGATCTTTTGCTGAAAGTGAATCTGTCACTTCTTACCTTCGTGAGGCCATCTGCTTGGTTCTAGCGCATTTGATTCTAGCATATTTGGTTCTAGCGCATTTGGTTCTAGCGCATTTGGTTCTAGCACATTTGGTTCTAGCGCATTTGGTTCTAGTGTGTTTGATTCCCCACAATCATTTCCTAGTGCTTGACTAAGCTGCTGGGTAATGACTCGTCTTTCTGTCAGTTCTTAGTAACTTCTTACCTTCGTGAGGCTATCTGCTTGTTGTTTGGTTCTAGTGCGTTTGATTCTAGTGCGTTTGATTCTAGTGTGTTTGATTCTAGTGCGGTTGATTCTAGTGCGGTTGATTCTAGTGCGGTTGATTCTAGTGCGGTTGATTCTAGTGCATTTGATTCTAGTGCGTTTGATTCCCCACAACCATTTCCTACTGCTTGACTAAGCTGCTGGGTAACACACACACACACACACACACACACACACACACACACACACACACACACACACACACAGAGGGAGACCGAGCAAAGTTCGCCATATATCTTTCTCCTGCCCTTCGCATGGCATACTCTATCCTGTCCTTCAAATATTTCTATCCTGCCCTTTGCACTCCTATAGAACTCGGCATCCTATCCCTTTCCCTCCACCCTCCCCTTATGCGCTACTAGCAAATACATACGAATGAGCATCGCTAAGAGAACAGACCAAGTATAAGCTGAAGGTCCGAAGTGAAAAGAACAAGAGTATGAAGACAAACGAGAGACCAAAACTAAGTATAATCTGAAGATCTGAAGTGAAGTGCACAGGAGCACCCCCCCGCTTTTACTCTGCCTCCTGGTACAACATGCAAGTGGGCCGTTAAGGCACACGAGGATGTGGGCAGCTGCTGCTTAACCACAATGAATGCAGGCAGTCTTGTACGTGCGAGGCATGGTAAAAGAGGAGCTGGTGCCACAAAGAAACCCCAGCAGCACACTTCTGAATGGTTCTATTATGATTCATGTCGCTTGTTAAAGAGGTGAAATTGTTTAGTTGTTGGGCTGTCTGAACTCGAATCTACTCATCTGGGTGGAATAGGAGCTGTTATGGTGGAAATTTAAAACACACACACACACACACGCACACACACACACACACACACACACACACACACACACACACACAGAGAGAGAGAGAGAGAGAGAGAGAGAGAGAGAGAACAACATGCATAGATAATTGTAAATCCACATGTTCCTCCGCATTGGGAAAAAGAGGCACAACAACATGCATAGATAATTGTAAGTCCACATGTTCCTCCGCATTGGGAAAAAGAGGCTTGGGAATTTCAAGAAGGTTTATATGCTGGGGTTAACCCTACTTGGTCCTCTCTCTCTCTCTCTCTCTCTCTCTCTCTCTCTCTCTCTCTCTCTCTCTCTCTCTCTCTCTCTCTCTCTCTCTCTCTCTCGTGCGCGCGTGTGCGTGCCCTTGCATGCATGTGGATTTACAACTGTCGATGACTCCACGCATGTCGTTATGTCTCTGTATTTCCTTGTGAGCTTTCGTGCTCTCTCTCTCACTCTCTCTCTCTCTCTCTCACACACACACACAGAGTATGGTCCTCAGAATCCATCTCAGCCGTTCATCATCATCATCATCACGATCGCCAAAACTGCTTTTCCCAATGTATTCGCTAGCGGCTGGTAAGATTCCCCGTTTTCCATTCGCCATTTGGCTTGTACACACCATCCAGCACATTGCCTGTGGATGTGAAACGATAGGTTCCTCGACCGTATGGCTTGTTTTTGTGGAAGCGACCTTCGTATCCACTGCCGTCGCGGAAGACCCACTCTCCGGACCGGAAGTCTCCGGCATGCCATGTGCCACAGAACTGCAGTCAAGTAAGCAATACGATAATCAGAATCGACGTTGCCGAATTGTGTTTATTATTCCGTAAAATAAATATGAAATTTAGATAATATAGCATACTATATAATATATATACGTTCGAGAATCTAGAAGAATTCATCATCGGATTTTCATCTTCTTTTTTTTAAAATTTTATTTGCAAAAAAATGAAACAAAAAGGAACACTCTTAAAATCGCAAAACTTGATAAAAGTTCATAAAACTTGATAAACTTAAATTTACAAGTTAGATTATCATTCTTGTACTATGAGGCATATGGGGCACGCTTCTCCTCACTTTTCCCTTCTTTGCTCTTCTTCTTCTTTTTYTTTTTCTTCTTCTTCTTCTTCTTCTTCTTCTTCTTCTTCTTCTTCTTCTTCTTTTTTTTTTTTTTTTTTTTTTTKTTKTTKTTKTTYTAGTGTGTATGGGGCACACTTCGCTTCAGGGCATATGGTTTCGGCCACAAGAAGAAGAGCAAAGAAGGGAATAGGGAGGAGAAGAGGAGAAGACGGAGGAGGAGAGGAAATAATGAGGAGAATAGGAAGGAGGAAAGGGAATATGGATGAGGAGAATAGGGAGGAGGAGAATAGAGAGGAGGAGAATAGGGAGGAGGAGAATAGGGAGGAAGAGAATAGGGAGGAGGAGAGGACAATATAGGCTGGCGACATAGGGAGGAGAGGAAGGACAACGAGGGATTCCCACTCATGTCGTGGGGAGCAGCACGTGCTGGGCACCGGGCCCAGTGTCCCATTTGGATTTACTGGGTCTTCACCCGAGTTACTTAAAAGTAACTGAGTCTTCACCCGACTTACTTAAAAGTAACTGGGTCTTCACCCAAGTTACTTAAAAGTAACTGGGTCTACACCCGAGTTACTTAAAAGTAACTGGGTCTACACCCGAGTTACCCTCTCTGAGTGGATCGACCTTCAAATTTTCCCAACTTGTTACTGGTCGAAATCAAGTTACTGCGGTAATCCCTTCTGAATGAATACCCAGTCACTGCCTCTTTAATATTCTTTATTGAAGTGTATTCACATTCTTTTTTTTTTTTTTGCTTAAAGTGTTTTTTTTTGGTGCTTTATCATCCTTTATGTTTATTAAATGTTGGTAAACAAGTTGTTGATTCCGGTGGACTTCCCCCCCCCCACTGTTTTGCTGTGTGCTGGTCTCGTTTCGAAGTACCTGGCTCATGCTCTCCTTGAAGAAGTACACACCCTTTCCATGCTTTTTGTCGCCTGCCCATCCACCCTGATAGATGTCGCCGTTTGGGTAGAAGTAGGTGCCTTCTCCATGGCGCTTATCCTGGGACCAAGCCCCTTTTTTCCAAGAATAGAAAGCAAAACACAGGTACTTGCCAAAAACAGAAACAGAGATAAACAGACAGAAACACAGACAAAAAAAAAGAACGAAAAGACACAGAAAACACAGATAAAAACAGACAAAAAGACACAGAAAACACTGACGAAAACAGACAAAAACAAATGTTAGGCTTTCAATAAAATGAATATCGTACGGCCGTCTGCTATGACCGCCATAGCTAGAGCTTGAGGAAGAGGGAGGAAGAAAAAGTGTCTCCCTTACTCTCCCATTTACTTCAATGAAACTCTGTTGTTGATTGGTTGGTGAGTGTTTGTAACGTGGTTATAATTCGTGGAAATCCGTGATGCTGATTGAGTTGGGGAGAGACGGTATCAATAACAATTGATTTGATTTTTTATTTTTATTTTTATTTATTTTTATCATTATTTGTTTTGGCCATGCCTATCTTCTCTGTATCGTTCCAATTTTAACGGATGTCCCAAAGGACTCAATTGATTAAATTTCAATTCTATGTGAGCTTCTGCTGTGCTGTGTATTCTCATCATCTGGTTTGTTCCGTGCGGATTCCTCTCTCTCTCTCTCTCTCTCTCTCTCTCTCTCTCTCTCTCTCTCTCTCTCTCTCTCTCTCTCCTTTGCTCTCTCTCTCTCTCTCTCTCTCTCTCTCTCTCTCCAAGTCTGCTTGTCTTTGTATATATATATGCAATCAGACTGGCTTTCATTCACACTTCTCACGCATGCAAACAGGTGCGCAGCAAACTGGTGACAAGCGCCCACTCAGAACTCAGAGATATGGTAACCGAGAACACAGTTCAGATACAAGTTCACTTTGATGGCTATGGCGACTCAGCGCCCACACAACTCACTGTTCGCATACACAGGATCACCCTGGATATCCCACACGCGATACTCTGAACACAAACACACACTCACACTGCACTCTACCTACAGCTATGGCGGCTATGGCCGCTACTACCCTATCGCTATGGCTAAGCTTCTCTCTCGCCCACTTCGTCTTCGGTCTCACTGCAGACCACCTCGCACAAGTTGCTTGTGGCAGCGCTTCCACATGGCTCACGCAGGAATGAATGAATGGCTGGGCGCTGCCTCTTGATTTTTACTTCTGCAGCTCGTTGGTCTGGCCCTTTCCCATGCCCGAAGTGCACACAATCCCATGCGGTACTTGCTTGACTGGAACAAGGACTGACTGGGGACTGAGACTGTTGACTCAGCACGGTAGACTTCCACCCCTTGACCACTTGCCTCACCACTTGCCCACTTGCCTCAGCCTAAACGTGGGTAGCTTCAAAAGGCCAGTACTGGGACCTTCCGGAAGGCCGTAGACTTGGCCTTTCGATACTGTAGCAGCTACGACCTTGACCTTTCCGGACTCTAGCAGCTACGACCTTGACCCTTCGAGACAGCTACAGCTACGACTGCTAGACCTGACTGATACTCCTACTCGACAGGTCCACAGATCGAACCCCTGCTACCTATGGACCCTATGACAACCTACCAACTGTTACAAATACACAGGTCACGGGTTCAACTCTAAGGGTCGACACTGATACTGTACACAGGTAAGGTGGGGACTACCGTCTTCCCCCGAACATAACGCACCCGAAAAATGAATGTATACAAGCTTCATTTCCGGCCAGATACAGCCAAAATAAGGGTGCGTTGTGTTCGGGGGAAGACGGTAGGGATCGAGCCCTGGGATCTGCATCAGCTACTGCGAATTGGTGAATTCCGTTTCATATATATAATAATAATAATATATATAATTATTTAAAACAAACAGCTCCGGGATTCACTCGAGGTGCTGGTAGGACCAGATGCGTCCAAGTCTGCTTGTCATTGCGCATGTTAAGGTCATGCTGGATTTCGTTTCAATCAGGTACATAACACTGCTGCACGGCACACAAAAAAAGATGTAACCCCAGCAGACGCAATACGTATCAAAACTCAGCAGTCCAGCCGCGCACCGTCGATTCGTTGTAGCGGAATGCCATCAACAGATTCAACAGAAGAATTACATCTGAGAATGACTCAGGCGGTACTGCCGCTAGGACTGTTTCAACTTTCAATTCATCTGGGGACAGTGTGCGGTCAGATGCATCCAGGCCCACCTCCAATTGCAGTTAGATACATCTAGGAAAGTCTTCGTGTGAGTAGTAGTGTCCTCAGACAAAAACTAACCACATTTCACTTAGGTGTAATGACTCGCATTTTTTGTTGATTGGGCTGCACCCTCTCCATGAGTCCGAGAATTACATCACATATTAGAAATTTCAAATTTAATATATGATATTATATTATTATGATATTAGCTGAATTAGTAATTACGTCAACAAAAGACCGCCGCAGTGTGGATTTTTTTACATCAACCGAATTGGAATCATATTAATGGCTGCCTGAACCTTATCCGTTAACTGGATGAGGTACATTCGTGGATGGATGAACCTTATCCATTAACTGCATAAGATACATTAACGGCTGCCCGAACCATACACATTAACTGGATAAGGTTGCATTAATGGCTAACTGAACCTTATCCATTAACTGTATAAGATACATAAATGGCTGCCTGAACCTTATCCATTAACTGGATAAGGTACATTCGTGGCTGGCTGAACCTTATACGTAAACTGGATCATATGGTTACATTAATGGCTGCCTGAACCTTATCCATTAACTGGATAAGGTGCTGTCTGAACCTTATCCATTAACTGCATAAGATACATTAATGGCTGTCCGAACCTTCTCCATTAACTGGATATGGTCACATTAATGACTGCCTGAACCTTATCCGTTCACACGATAAGATACATTGATTAAGATACATTAATGGCTGACTGAACCTTCTCCATTAACTGGATAAGGTCGCATTAAGGGCTGCCTGAACCTTATCCATTAACTGGACCAGGTGCTTGCTGAACTCTTGTGCATTCTCTGAGGAGTCATGGATAAGGCGCTGACTGAACGAACGAATCATGTGAATGGGATTTGATGGGACACGTGGGCTGCCTATGTCCACTCACACTAATGTCAAGGCCATAGGGGGGTTAAATGTGGACATGTTTGCTGCGTATCACTGGGTACCCACATGGCATCGACTCAGGTTGGATTGCTGAAAAAGACTCAGGTTGGATTGCTGAAAAAGAAGAGCAAGAGGCAAGGACATGTTTGCAAACTGCAAACTGCAAAGTGGCAGAGGAGCAAGAGGCCGAGGAGGAGAGAAGGGGAGGAGAAGCAGCAGGAGGTAGAAGAAGAAGAAGAAGAAGAAGAAGAAGAAGAAGAAGAAGAAGAGGAAGAGGAATGGAGGGGAAAAGACAGAAGTGGAGCGGAGAAGAGGGGAGGAGAGGAGGACGAGTTTCACTGAGATGGTTGTCTTTAGAGGAGAACAATGAGGAGCAGGAAGAACAAGGGAGAGGACGACTCCAAGGAGGAGGAGGAGGACAGGAAGAAGGGGAAGAAGGCGAAAAAGGGAAAAAAAAAGGAGGAAGAAGAGGGAGAATAGAAGGAAAAGTAGTAGGAGGAGGAGGAGTAAGAAGAAGGGAGGGGAAAATACGGAAGTGGAGAGGAGAAGAGGGGAGGAGAGGAGAATGCATTTCACTGAGATATTTGTCTTTAGAGGAGAACTATGAGGAGCAGGAAGAACAAGGGGGAGGATGACTTCGAGGAGGATGAAGAGGACAGGAAGAAGGGGAAGAAAGAGAAGGAAGAAAAAGGAGGAAGAAGAGGGAGAATAGAATGAAAAGGAGGAGGAAGAGGAGGAGAGGAAGAAGAAGAAGAAGAAGAGGAGTATGAGGAAATGAGAGACGAGAAGAAGAAGAAGAAGAAGAAGAAGAAGAAGAAGAAGAAGAAGGGAGGGGGAGGAGGAGGAGGAGTGGGTGAACGAGGAGGTGAAGGAGAAGCATGTGGAAGAAGAGGAACAGGAGGAGGAGGAGGTCTAGGAGGAGGAAGAAGAGGAAGAAGAGGATAATGATTGTAGTTTAGGAAGACAAGGGGGAGAAAAGAGGGGGGTGATTCAGCCTCCTCCATACCTTCGTATTTTCCCTTGTCAGGGTAAGTCATGGTGCCTGTTCCGTGTTTGACGTTGTCCATGTAATCTCCCTCATATACGGCTCCATTTGCAAAGGTGTACTTTCCTTTTCCAGTTCTTTTCCCATTTACATATGGACCGACATACACGTCCCCATTAGGAAAGGTTGCCGTTCCGACGCCATTGGGAACGCCATCAACCAGCTCACCACTCCAGGTCTGAAAAATAACAAAGCCATTGAAATCGAATCCAAAATGCAATTCAATCCACTATCCAATCCAATGCAAAATCCAAGCCTGTCCAATCCAGTCTAAAAGTCAAATCCAAAATTCAGATCTTAGCCAGCCTGATCAAACGTGATCCAATCAAATCCTATACAATCCAGTCAAGTCCAATCAAGCCCAACCCAATCCAATCCACAATCAAATCTGTCCCAACCAATCCAAACAAATCCGATGTAAGAGTCAAGTCCAATCCAATCCAATCAAAGTCCGATCCAATCCAATCCAATCCAATCCAATCCAATCCAATCCAATCCAATCAAATTCAATCAAAGTCCGATCCAATCCAATCCAATCCAATGCAATCCAATCCAATCAAGTCCAATCCAGCCCAGCCCAATCCAATCTCATAAAATCAAGTCCAATCTAGCCCAACCTAATCCAATCCAATCGAATCAAGTCCGATCAATCCAATCCAATCCAATCAAGTCCAATCTAGCCCAATCCAATCAAATCCAATCCAATCCAACCCAATCCAACCTAGTCTAATCCAATCCACAATCCAAGCCAGTCGAATCCAATCCAAACAAGTCCAATCCAATCTAAGAGTCAAATCCAATCCAATCCAATCAAGTCCATACTAATCCAATCCGATCCAATCAAGTCCGAGTGAATCTAATCAATTATCAATCCAATCCAATCCAAGCGAGTCCAATCCAGTCAAGTTCGATCCTATTCAATCAAATCCACTCAAGTCTGATTCAATCCAATCCAGTCCAATCCAACCAAGTCCCATTCCAATATTAATCCAATCAAATCAAGTTCGTCCCAATCCAGTACAAGCCCAATCAAGTACAGTTGATCAAATCCAATCCAATCCAATCCAGTAAAAATGCATGCAGATAGATGCGCAAAGCCCATGTATTGAATTAAGTTGATTAAACAATAAAATTAAATTTAGTGAGATTAAAAATCTGGGTGAAGGTCGCACTTCGGTGTGTACTAGGAGAGCTCACCAGGCAACCAAGACCACCCGGGTGACCTTGGTTGCCTGGGTCGGGCAAGGAACAGGGAAGGTGCGTGCGGAAAAAAAGAAAAAAAAAACGAAAACAAACTATGTTATGCAGAAAACCGAACAACTTTTGCCTCAGGATCACATCCAAATTCTTTAGCCAACAAAAAGTTAAAAAATAAAACTAAAAAACCTAGGCTACCGGCCGGGCCGCCCGGGTCACCCTGTTTTCCCGGGCGGCCCGGCCGTGCAAGGACTAGGGAAGGCCCCAGCCAAAAAAAAAACAAAAAAAGAAAAACATCCAAAAAGTTCGAAAAAAAACTATGTTATGCAGAAAAATAAACTGAACAACTTTTGTCTCAAGGTTACATCGAAATTATTTACCAAATTGAAAATAAAAATGTAAATTAAAAATTAAAATATATAGAGAAACTCCGACGAAACAGTGTGTAACAGCCCCTCGTTTGCTGTCCTCTTCTCCCTCTCTGCCTACGGTTTACCGGGCACTTCTATTTTAAGATATAAATGCTGGCGTTCGGGATGGGCTGAACACCCGAACCCGAACGCCCGACCATTTGGGACCCCCTCTCGACGCGTTCGGACGTTCGGCCGAACGCGGAACCAAAAAAAAAAGAAAAAACAAGAAAAAAAAAAAAAAGGTTTCCAAAAATTCTGAAAAACAAACTATGTCATGCAGAAGAATAAACTACACAACATTTGCCTGAACAGTACATCCAAATTCCTTACCAAATTTGAAATAAAAATTAAATTAAAAAAAAAATAATATTCATGAAATAAGAAAAAATGAATCGAGAATGAAATTATTGCGTGGGCGAGCAAGTTTTTGACACCGCCATCTTTGGCGATTTTTCATTTTTTTTTGGCTTCGTCAAATGTCATGAAATGTTATACATATGTATCTTACATAATAGAGAACCTACAAATAAAGTTTGAAAAAATAATATTTTTTTCAGGACCCGAAGTAAAGGGAAAACAAAAAGTGAAAAGAGAAAAAAAACAAATTAGTAAGTGGGAAAGCAAGTTTTGACACCACCWTCTTTGCCGATTTTTCATTATTGTTTGGCTCCACAGAATGGCTTCAAAATTGAGAGACAGATAGCTTACATAATAGAGAACTCACAAAAAACAAATCAGAAACATATAATAATTTTTAGGTACCAAAATATGTTTTTGCGGGGTCCGAACCCCTTTGAGTTCGGGCCCCGTACGAGGACCCGAATGCCCGAACGTTCGGGGGTCAGCTTAGGGGCCTCCGTACGTTCGGCCTGGCAACTCTCTCTCTCTCTCTCTCTATATATATATATATATATATATATATATATATATCGTCACAAAAAGAACTGCCCGGTAAACCGTTGGCAAGGAGAGAGAAAAGGACAACAAACGAGGGGCTGTAACAAACTGTTTCGTCGGAGTTTCACCAACTCATCAGGAGGCTGAACCCTCAACAATCTAACAGTCTGCAGAATCCCCTCACTGATTATATATATATATATACAGGGGAAATGGCGTTCTGGACGGGCCGAACGCCCGAACCCGAACGCCCGAACGTATGGGACCCCTTGGAGATGCGTTCGGCTGTTCGGGCCGAAAGCGGACCCAAAAAAAAAAAAAAAAAAAAAANAAAAAAAAAAAAAAAAAAAAAACGTCATCAAAAAAATCTGAAAAAAAAAGATATGTTATGGAGAAAATAAAGTAAACAAGATTTGCCTGAGCATTACGTCCGAATTCCTTACCAAATTTGAAATAAAAATAAAATACTCAGAATAAATACTAATAATAAAAATAAATAAAAATAAAAAGAGAATTAAATTTAGTGAGTGCGCGAACATGTTTTTGACACCGCCATCTTTGGCGGTTTTTCATTTTTCTTTGGCATAGCTAAATGCCCTGAAAATTTACAGATGTGTACTTCACATAATACACAACCCACTAAAAAAGTTTCAAAAAATAATAAAATTGTTTAGACCTCGAACTTAAGTGAAAACAAAAAGTAAAAAGTGAAAAAAAACTTGGGCGAGCACGTTTTGACACTGCCATCTTTGGCAATTTTTAATTCTTATTTGGCTAAGAGAAATGACTTGAAAATTTCTAGACATGTACCTCACGTCATAGAGAAGTCGTACAAAAAAATTCAGAAAACAAAAAATATTTTTAGGCCCCGAAATAATTTTTGGCGGCGACCGAACGCCGTCGGGTTCGGGACTCCGAACGCCCGAACGTACGGAGGTCCACCCGGGGGCCTCCGTACGTACGGGCTGGTAACCCTGTATATATATATATATATTTTTGGCCCGGCCGGGCAAGTGGACCCGGGCCACTCTAGTAGCCTAGTCAAAAATGTTTTTTGTTTTTTTAGGCACAACTGGGCAAGTAGTTTTGATCAATCAATTACATACCCAGTTGGTCCATCGTCTCAATTCACTAATTGTTACTTGATTGTATAATTTTAATTATATTAGTGAATTTTTTCATTGATTAATTGATTGATGTATTGTATCCATCAATTGATCGTTGCACTATATTGAACAATTGATTGATTTATTGATTGATCGATCGATTGATATATAGACTTCTGATTGATTGATTGATCGATTGATCAATTGATCGGTTGAATGATCGATTGATCGATTGATTGGTCGATTGATCGGTCGATTGATTGATTGATCGGTCGATTGATTGATTGGTTGCATTGAGTATATGCGTTGGTGGTGAAAACTATGTACAATCGACTGTTGTACATTTGATTGATTGAATGATTAATTGATCGATTGATTGATTGCTTGCTTAATTGATTGCTTGATTGCTTGATCGATTGATCGATTGGTATCTTTTTTTTTTCTTTTCTTTTTTTCTTTTCTTTTTAACAACACACCCGTGGGTGGTAGTGGTGCTGGTAAGAGCAGCTCCATCTATTGGTGGGCAGCAACACCTGCTGGAGTCCCTTATATAAAACAAAGTTTAAATCACATCAAATCGCATCATCCTGCCAGCATTGATTACCTTGGGGTCCAGGGGATTGACTGAGCAGGAGGTTGGGGGAAGAGGACCTCTTCACCCTGAATCTGGCGCCAAATATCTGTTATCTCATCCTGGTTCCTCCCACTCCCTACCTTTGAAGAACAACGTTGCTGGTCGGGTCCAACGTCCGGTCCTGTTCCGTCCTTTGGCGCGAAGGACGTGGCTTCTGTTCCCCGCCAATTGTTTATCTCACGAGAGCTCCCTCCCTCCCTCCCTCCCTCACTGAAATATTATTTTTTTGACAGTTCCCCCTGCAGTCCATCTATTGGTGGGGAGCGTCACCTGCTAGAAAGCGGGAAAGTATCAGGGAGGGACATTTCCATTACTGAGAAAAACTGAGAAAGGGTTGAGAAAGACTGAGAAAGAGATCTGCCTACTACAGAGAGCCTTTGCCACCTTGCTCCCCGTCGACGTCTGCTTATGCTGCTCCGTACCAATGCATATCCACCATTGCCAGTTGGTGAGGGGGGAAGAGGTTCGGGAAGTCTGTGGGTGGGCGCAGAGGGACCCTCTGGTCCACCTTGGTCCAATCTTTAAAGTTGATGCAGTAATCTTTTTTAAAATCATCTCGTTCCTTCCCCTGTGTGTGTCCCCCTTCCCAGCGGATACGTGCAAACGAACCCCCTTGGTCGCTACCCAACCACTCCTCTGAGAATAGATTTATTGCTTGTTGAATATCTTTTTTTTGGTGGTACAAGTCCAGTTGGCTTTTAATTTCCTGCCACCGGGTGAGGAGTTCTTGATTGATAAATTGTCTGATCGTTTCTGTCACCTCCTCCCCCTCTACACGGACCCCTTCAATGGTGTGTATACAACGTTTTCGTCGAAGTGCCCAGATGATGGCTCTCCTGCCTGTCTTAAACATATTGTTCTCAAAGTCCCTGTCTGTAGGGGAGGTCCATGCCTCGCAGAGCAGTGCTCTCCAATTCCATGAAAAGGTGGA